AAGTGGTAATATTTAGAAAGGCAATGTAGACTCTCATTCCTTAAAAAGGTAAAGGATGATACATGACTCCTTACTGAAATATTAGTTAATATGTAGGTGAATAATTCTCAACATTTGTGTGATACTTCATGATTTAGAATGATTTTATATATTCATACCCCGGGAGTTGGGTAGTATTTTATTTTTTTTTAAAAATTAAGGTAATTAAGTTAAACTGTTACAGAGAAGTTAAGTGATATGCCCAAGTTATATAGCCAGCTACTAAGTGACACATCCAGGACTCTTTTGAATTTAAGTTTGGTAATTTTTCTTCTCTGCTATGTTGTCTCTCAATAGCTAGAGAGATAAACTAGAAAATCTAAATGTGTCTTATTTAATTTTGTTGATTATTTCCCCCAGTTTTGCTTTACAATGACCATTCCCTTCCATCACTCCAAACCTCCATACTCCTCCTCCCCATCTCACACATATTTTATATGGTACAGGTGACTGTCCAAAGAGATACAATCTTTTTTCTAGGTGAAATGATGGCAGATTATAAACATGTAGAAAAAGCCTGTTAAATGTTGGCCTATGATAATGAAGAGTGCTTTGGACATGATATCTTCCAATTACTGACTCTTCAGGATGATTTTTTCCCCCTAAAGATATTTTCAGAATGCATCTCAAACTAGCTGGGAATACTCATCCTAACGAAGAAGGAAAGCCAAATGCTTTGATGATAAAATGATTGACATTTTAAACAGTATAAACATTCAATCTCGTCTTTAGAATGTAATTTCTGCTACAGGTGCTGACAGGTGCTGACAGATTCTGGCATCAAACACTGTTAGGGAAGAACTCTCAGCTTGAGATAAAAGGTCAAAGGCACAGAATTAAAAAGAATCTTTTTCAGGTGACTTGAGGATAAGTGACAATGGCTACATCTGGCAAAGACTGTAGTCATAGTATCCTAAAGAAACTTTTATTTCCTGATTCAAATAATCAAATTTTGGATGACCCAAGGGCTTAACAAAGTATTGTTTCATAATGAGCATGCTAATTAGGTGATTCTTATATAGCATATTACTAATGTAGAGATAAAGCTATGACAAAATTTGACATTTTTTTCCCATCACAACCCTGAGAGGAAGACTGACTACATTATCAAACCAAAAATAAAGTTATTCAAGTATCAAGGATTTCCCCCAGATCACATTTCACTTTCTTCTCTGCAAAATAAACAAATTATCTATAGGAGCAGAAAGCATCTAAAGCTGATGTACATCCATTGATTCACTCACTCACTCACCATAGGTACAACCCCAGTTTCCAATCCTTTGTCACCATAAAAAAATTAAAACAAAAACTAAGCCAACAAAACTCTGCCACAAATATTTTATACATATGGATCTTTTTCTTCTTTCTTTGATCTCTTTGGTGTGTAAACCTAGTAATGGTATTTCTGAGTCACTGAGTGTGTGCAGTTTAATAGCTTTTCGAACATAATTCCAAATGATCTTCCACCACAGCTGAACTGGTTCACAAGTCCATCAAGATTCCATTAATATACTTGTTTCCTCACAGCCGTTCCAGTATGTGTTCTTAATCTTTTTTTTTTTAAATTCACTTTGATAATTAGGTGTAAGGTGGAACTTCAGAGTTGTTTTAATTTACATTTATTTGATCACTGGTAATTTAAAGAATTTTTAAAATTATAGCTATTGGTAGCTTGGATTTCCTCCTCTGAAAACTGCCTATTGATATCCTTTGAGTATTTATCAATTAGATAATGAGTCTTATTCGTATAAATTTGAGTCACTTCATTGTATATCTCAGAAATAAGACATTTCAGAGAAACTTGTTGCAAAGATTCCACCCTGATATGCCCTTTTATTTTCTAATTTTAGCTGAATTGTTTTTATTTGTGTAAATTTTTTTAAATTAATTTTAATTTTTCTTTGTGTATTTTTAAAAATTTTATAAAATTAAAATGGTCTATTTTACCTTCTCTGATCATCTGTCTCTTGAGTGGTCATGAATTCTTCCTCTATCCATAGGTCTGACAGTTTCTTCCTTGCTTCTCTATTTTATGATATCACCATTTTTGTATAAGTCATTAAATCATTTGGGGCATAAGTTGGTAAATGATGTATGATACTGGTCTATACCAAGTTTCTCTCAGTCTGCTTTTAAGTTTTCCCAAAATTATTTGTCAAATATTGAGTCCTTGCCTTAATACCTGGGATCTTTGAGTTTATCAAAAACTTGATAACCATAGTTCTTATTTGCTTCTGTAGATTATAAATCTAATCTGTTCCACTAGTTACCCTCTCTATTTCTTAACTAGCCTAATTATTTTAATGATTACTGCTTTTGTGGTATGGTTTGAGATCTGATACTGCTACGTCCAATTTCTTCCCACTTTTTTTTCATTAATGCTTTTGAGATTCTTGACCTTTTGTTTCTCTAGATGACTGTTATTTTTTTTAACTCTATAAAGTAATCCTATGGTGGTCTGAATAGTTTGACTTATGCCTAAACTGTTTTTTTTAGTCATTGATTATTGATATTTTGGAGTCATTCTCTTCTTTTGGGTTTGTCTTTTTTTTTTTTTGGCAATTGGGGTTAAGTGACTTGCCCAGAGCTACACAGCTAGTAAGTGTTAAGTGTTTTGTCTGAGGCTGGATTTGAACTCAGGTCCTCCTGATTTAAGGGCCAGTGCTCTATCCCCTGTGCCACCTAGCTGCCCCTGAGTTTGTGTCTTGAGCATTCTTGTTAGCATAATAACTCTTTGTAGTAGGATCCATTTTAGATTTCCTCATTCCCCTCAGCCTTCTTCCTTACTTTGGACTTTGTGTTAGAACCACATTCTCTGCACTTCTAGGGAAGATGTCTGTACTGGACTTTTGCTCTCTTGAGTTTTTCTTGGGATATTGAATGTTGTATAATTCTATTATTTTAGTACATCTCCAGCTATAGACTGTAACTTTGAGTATTCTCAAAATTTTCTAGTCCAGCACAAAATCTAATCACTGTTATCCTAGTTTGAATTTTGCAGGTTCCTGGCCCGGGTTTGTGTCTGCACAATTCTCCTGTGGGCTTACCTCTGTTTGGAAGTTCTAGTGGACAACTGCTAGAATTGGTCACTATTAGCCAGGTGAAAAGCTCTGCAGGTTGAGAATGACAGAGCTTCAGGTTCCTATTTGCTCTGAAATTCCTGCCCTGATTTTTCCAATGCTGGTTTCAGACTAGACTGAAGGCTATAATTGAGGCCATACCCTCCTCCTGAGGTTAGAGCTACATAGCTACTATTTGCTTCCGAGTATGTTTCTATCTCAATAAGTACCTCAGAGTCCAAGATTTCTCTCCACTCTGGAATTCTGCCACTAGGTATAGGTCTCTATCTCAGTCTACCATGAATCAATGATTTGGAATTTAATAATGAAAGACAAATGCTTTTGTAGATTAAGATTAAGAAAGACATTTTTCACAAGGTCAGAATCTCCCTTAAAGGGTTTAGAGCTGGCTATCTGTGGACTTTGGCTTGCACCTCCCTCTTTTTGGATGTGACTATGGCTTTTATATTGCTTGAACCCATGACTTCAGACTCATTTTAATACCACATTCAAGCTAGTTGTGCTAACCAGCCACCAATACTTCATGGATATTGCTTTACTCAATAGAAGTCTTACCTAAATAGCTGTGCATAAATCAAATATAACCTTGCCTATAAATGTACTAGTTTTGCAAGAAAACCTACATTATCTCCTTTTGTATGCCCTGATTTTTATTTGCTTTATGTTAGTATTTTAATCTATTAAGTGTTTAAAATAGGAAATAGACTTTTTTATTATAATAAAGTTTTGAGAATTGCCAGGTATCCTAGGGTTCAGAGTTCAGAGAGACAAACATTCTTCTCAGGACTCTATTATATTCCCCTCATATAATCTTAGTCAAGAACTTTAAGTTGCTCTTGTTGAGTCACTTCTATGATTTTAGGTTACTCAGTAAAGGATACTTTTTAAGGAACAAAACTTTTATTCTCTGTTAAATAGTTATTAGTGGGATTTATATAATATATTCTTCAAATTTAAATGAGACAAAATACAAATCAGGTTTGGTTATGTCAATATATTATTTAACTCTTTAAAAAGATATTGAAATTGTGTCTTGATAGTGTCTCTAATGAATAAGAAATTATAACTTTTCTTTTTCTGAATCCTAAGCTCGATGGTTGATATTTCTTTCATCTTCCTAAAAACATATGGCATTGAAGTGATTATCTGGCTCATTATGCCAAAGAACATTATAAGTATAGATTAGGACCTCAGTGAAAGCTTTTGTGTTTTTCCAGAGTGTTTTGCCTTCAAAGATGCCATCCTGGACGTGGCAGGCCTATTGTCCTACAGATTAATCTGGTTCATGGACTGTCCAGAGCAAGATCCTTGTCATTAAAATTAAAATGTGATATCACAGATAAAAAATGTTTTCATTGATTTGACAAATGTGAAAAGGGGTAGATGCAGACTTCTGTCTTAGATATCGACTTACATGATTCAGTAGTTCTGGTACCTGAAATTTTATTATCAAATGAATTTAATCAAGAGTCTTTGCAAAAGCAAAGGAATTGTGTTTCTTGTATGTCTATATTATAAAGACAAATGTATGTGGAAAATTCCAGTTCTTAAGTAATTTCCTTTTGTGTTTTCTAAAATCTGATGCAAACAAATACTTTTGACAAGTAGATGATAGTAGAGTATTACTATTTCACATATGGGTAAGGGAGTGGTATCCTTTGTTCCTTTCCTGAGAGAGCTGACAGTTATCTTTATTATTCCATGAAAAACATTTCCAGTGATGATAATTTGAAAATATATTTCCCTCCTAAAATATCTGCTAAACTCCTTTGACAGCTAAAAGGTTTAGGTAGGGATTTCTAGGGTTGATTTATCAAAAACAATCATTCCTGCATCTTGTAAATAATCTAACAACTTTGTATGTATTTATCCATCCTACAGATGAAATGAATGATCGTCAAGGCACCCTTTCATACATTCTGATCAATCCTTCTCCTGACACAAGACTGGAAGTTAATGATGTCGTGTAAGTTGATGGCATATATCTGTGAAAGTTACAGAGTTTCAGACTTCAGTTTTCACAAAGCACTTATTTCTTTCTCTTCTAAATGCTCTTATAGCTTCTTATTTTTCTTTGAATTTACAAATGTTTTGAAAATATAAACCCTTTTATTTTCAATTTTCAATTCGGTTTATTTTCAATTCAGTAAGGATTACTTTGTGTCTGCTATAGATCCAGAATTATGTAATAGGTACTAGAGAAATCTAAAGGAAGTAAATGAGGTACACTTTTTATTCAAGGAGCCACAATTTATTTGAGATTCAGTTTACCGTGGGAGAAGGAATCCTAAATTTGGAATCAAGAGACCTGTGTCTATGTTAAGCAATTCACAAATATTGTCTTATTTAATTCTCACAAAAATGCTAGGAGAGAGGAGGTATTATCCTATTTTGTGGTAAAAATAAAAACTGAAGCAAATGGTACTTAAATGAGTTGACTAGAGTCACAAAGCTAGTAAATGTCTAAGTTCAGATTTGAAGTCAGATCTTCTTTACTCCAGATCCATCACTATATCCACAGCTCCAGCAAGCCAAAATCTTTGGAACAGCTACTGTGGGTTGTGTGACAGGGTGTCAATGAGGGAAAAAAAAATTAAAAAAAAAAAGATTTCCAGGTAGCATTGGGAGCTTCTTGTAGGAGATGGTGCTTGAGCTAAGATGTAAAAGGGAAAAAAAATATTCTAAGATGTAGATGTGAGGATTTCATGCATTCCAGTCATGTTTAATCACTTGTGCTAATACACAGAGTTGGAGAATTGTCAGATAAGGAACAAGTACAGTTTAGCAAGAATAAACAATATATGAAGTTAAGTAATGTATAAATGTATTTTAAAGGTTGTTTAGAGACAAATTGTAAAGGTCTAGAAATTTTAAATATAGGAGTTTCTATTTGAACTTAGAGTTAAAATGGAGGTATTGGATTTTATTAGTCAAGAAATGACACGATTTAATGAATGGTCAATGAGATCAAAAGTCCATCAATATAATGAAGGATGAATCGTTAGTGAGAAAATTGAAGTAGTCGGTTTAGGTTACTCTTGTTAGGTATTTAGAACTGAGCATGAATAAATTATCTTGAAGAGATGTTTTTATTTTTAAGGATAAGAAATAAGTATGTCTGTAGTTAGTGGTGAAGTAACCATCAAATGTGATGGAAGATTAAAGATGAAACAAAAAATGATGATGGCACAGGCACTCAGTAGAGAGAGGAGGGGTGGGGACAAGGCTCCAGTGGAAAGGTAAATCTTGGCAAAGGTTTTCCCAACCTTTTAACCTGGAACAAGGACAAAAGGATGATTACAGTTGTGTAGAGATTTTAAAATGGAGTGGAGGAAAGAAGTAAATATAAAATGCTAACTACTATCATTAAGAATTAGCTATTATAGTTACTATGGAAGATTTGAGCTTGTTTAAGTAAAATTGGTCATAACATTCCATTGTGTTTTTATTCAAAGTTTGTCAGTGGAGCCACTGATATTACAATTTATCATGGTTACAAAGATAATAAATATAAGATTATGTTATAGAAAGCTCAGAAATCTACAAAGAATGTATATTTACACATACACACACACACACATATGATATACTCAAGTACTGAAAGCTTTCTTGTGTGGATAAACATCTCTCGAAACTTGCCCTTCCTGGAATTCTTCCTTATCTCACTCTTACCCATTTGAGGGCTTCCCTATTTCTATCAAAATTTCCCAGTTACCTAGGCTGAAAATTTCCATAATGTTTTGCTTTATCTTTCCTTGCCATCCCATCTTCTTTCTGGAAGAATGGACTTGATTTCATTAGTAAAGAGACATTCTGATGAGTAAACTACAGTTTCTAGTACAGTTATCCCTTCCATATTATAACTTTGCACATTGTGGTTTTGATATATTGGGGGTCAGAATAAGAAATTAAATGGGAATTTTGGGGGAGTTTTGTGGAAGCCTTAGACAACACACAAAGGCTGGCAGATGACACAGAAAAAGTTACAAAAATCATAAATGCATGTAATACATATATAATATCAACCCAAATTTTACACTGTTACTGTAAGCATCCCATAAAAGAAAAAGAAAAAAAAATCAGACATCTCTGGTACTAAGGGAGGGCCAAAAAATTTTATGTGAGTTTTCCAAATCATGGTGGTATGCCCATAACCCCCAAAATATAACTGTACTCTATGCCCTGTGCAGTCTAGCTGCTAAAAACTTTCACTATTATCAATTTTGTTGATAATTGATTTTTTTCTTTGCATATCCATTTTCACAGCATATTTTCAGTTAAGGCATAACATGCAGTGGATTCCAAGAAAAATAAATTAGAAATTCATATGGCATTATAAACCTTAATGTACACTATTTGTTTTCCTCATTGATTGACAAAATTATTAAAATCATGAAGCACTGTACATAGTTTAAAAAATTCAATAATGAGATCTGAAATTAATATATGCTTTTGAAAATTAATAAAACCCTATAACACTATGGTTGTTAGCATAATTTCTATTGATTTTTCATTTCAAGAAATATACTATAAATTAATTTTTTTAGTTTAAAGTCCACTGTCTTTATATGTTATGTTTTTAAATTAGTTCTGTGTTCATTTTTTATTCTACTAAAATTAAAATGAAACAATAGAATGCCAATTTCTATAGGATTAAGAGCATAAAAAAAGTTTTATATCTGTACTGTAATTTCCCTAAAATGCACATTTGTAGTGACTCCATGCTTCCTGTTTCTGTCTGGTGTTTGTTTACAAAGACATCCATAATGAGACCTTTTTTTTCCTTTTTCAACTTAAAACTCCTCATGAACCTTCTAGTCAAACTCATTTTTTAAAGAATTTTCCTCAAACATTCCATTTACATTCTTGTCACTGAAGTTTTCCTCAAACTACCCATAGTAATTGCCTGGTGCACAGTAAGACCTTAATAAATGCTTGTTGACTGACTGACTTACTATCCCATCCCATGGCATAATGGCTAGAAGTTCAAGTAGCCTCAGTCACTAACTGTGTGAACGTGGAAAAGTTACTTAACCTTTCTCTGCCTCAGTTTCTTCAACTGTCAATGTTAAAATGGGGATAATAAAAGCACCTACTTTATAGGGATATTTTGAAGATCAAATGAGGTATTTGTAAACAATGTTTAGCCTAGTACCCGTCACATAATGGGTGCTATATAAATGCTTATTCCCATCCTTCCCTTACTTAGAAGGAACACTAGAGATAATCTCCTTAAAGATAATCTTGCTTTTTAACAGATGAGGATACTTTGCATGAGACACCATCAGACCAAGGTTATGTTGTTCAGTTTTTTTCACTTGTGTTTCAGTCTTCGTTATACCATTTGGGGTTTTCTTGGGAAAGATAATGGAGTGGTTTGGCATTTCCTTCTCCAGATCATTTTAAAGGTGAGGAACTGAGGCAAACAGGGTTAAGTGACTTGCCCAGGGTCACAGAGGTAGTGAGTATCTGAGGTTAGATTTGAATTTGTAAAGATGTGTCTTTCTGACTCCAGGCCCAGCACTCTATCCTCTGTGCAGACTAAGGTCCTTAACTCTAACTCTAATTCAGAGGTCTTTCTACAGTCATACTGTCTACTGCCCAGGGATCACCCCCTCCCCTGGACTTTGAACTTATGATCTTAGCTATGAAGTGATTTTTATCATGCTTCTTTAAGTAATAATGTATGCTATATTAAAATAAATATATCATTTTTTTGTGGATTCTATGTCCCCAAACAAAATTTGGCTTATTCTGGCCCTCCTGATCCATTTTTTTCTCCTGGGGCAGAGAGAATGTCTTCTGCCATTTAAAACAACAATAACAACAACAACATTTACAACAGCAACAAAATAGCAACAATCAAACATTTTGTGTTTCATTTCAAGGTAATTATTGAACATCAATAAAATCAACTAAGCTTGCTTAGTAATTATTCATTTAAGTCAGTTATTCTAAAAACATATTGGGATTGTTTGTTCCTTTTCATTCATCTTTCATCCTATACCAATCATTGACAGGATTATGTGTACACCATTCTTTTATTTCTGCTTTTGTCACTTTGTATTCTTTCATAGAGCTTATTCCAGGTTTCCTCATATTTGTTTTTTTATGTCATTATAGTATTCCATTATGTGAATTTACTACAATTTCCTTTTACCACTCTGTTATTGTACATTTAAAGTTGTTCAAAACTTTAAAGAAAATGTATGATGTTGCTCTGAAAAAAAAACATTTAATAGCTAGCTCTTAAAATAATTGATAATTCTTTTCAAGTTTTATTTGTAGTAATGGAAGTTTGAGACCAAAGTCTATGATTCTTTGTGTGTGTGTATGTGAATTTTATTACATATTAACAGACTGCTCTCCAAAAATATTCTAGAAGTTTGCAATTCCACAACAAATGGATAAGTGTACCTGTTTGTGTCTCATACTCTTGTAATTCTTTTTTAGAGTTGGCACTTACCACTATCCACTGCACATAGTATCCACAAAAATAATTCTGTTGATGATTACTGAGAGTTGACAATGGAAAGTGAATATTTGTTTATTGCCAATTTTAGCATTTGCGAATAAGTATTGGTGGATGGAAATTTTCCTATTTCTCTCCTGGTAGAATACATTTTGTGAGCAACAGTGTGGCATAATAGAGAGCTCTCTGGTTTTGGAGTCAGAAAGACCAGGGTTCCAATCCAGATTCAAACACTTAATGGGCAAGATACTGGTCATCTCCGAATGTGAATTTCCTCATTTGTAAATTATTTAGATAAAAATAGTGCTTACAGCATAGGCATATTGTGAAGGTCAAATAATAAAATATATGCAAAGCACTTTTTGCTACATAAATATACACTGCAAAAATATGATTTATTATCATTTCATACTACAGAAGGCCATAGTTCCTTTCAATTTCTGGACAGTAACCATGACCTGAATGTATTAGGTGAAGTGTTAATTAGAATGATTGCTGCAATTATGTGGATCACTTAATTGAATGATCAAATTTTGAGTTTTGAGATCACTTATCCTGAGTTAGTCATTTCACAGCTTAAGAAACTGAAATTCAAAAAAGAAAAAAAAAGATTTACCAAGGTCACAAAGTTAATTAGTGGCCAGACAAGTTCTGGAGCCCAGGCACCTTTGATAGAAACTATAAATACCTCAATACCCTGAATTCTGGAATCTATGCCAGTCAAGATAAAAGTGATAAAATCAGACCTGAATGAAAGATACCCTTGCTTGATTTCTCATTCTTCATGGACAGAATCTTGTCAGTTGTGGAGAGCTGGTAATACTATCCTTTTCATTCGCTGGGCCCCCATTTCTATAGTAAATCTTTCATTACATTTGCTTCTGCTGCAGTTCCATAGATGTAGGATAGTTTGGACAGTCTAGAAATTAAAGTAATATCATGTTTGAAATGAAACTCAAGAGAGACTATGTAAATTAATTTTGATATTATTGCATCTAACTGATCCTAAGTATATTCATACGTATTCTTTTTCTAGGTATTTAATTCGACCAGATCCCTTGGCATACCTTCCAAACAGTGCACCCAGCCGAAAAAGTAGCATCTGTAATACCACTGGACCTGACACTCGAGAAGAAACACAGCTTTGATACACTTCATAATAAAAAAAAAAAACACTATTTTTCTACAGAGTACCTTGATTCCATCAATACTACTTCTACAGAAAAAAATGCTGCTGGCATGAAATAAATAGGGTAGAATATAATTTATTCTATTCTATTAACAAAACCCACCGTGAATCTTAGATTATTTTGAAAGTTATGTTCCAGTTATCAATTCCATTTTTTCCAATGGATATTTAAAAAACATTAATGGAGTGACTCTGAAGAGCAAGATTAAGATACAAGAACAAATATGAAATTTATCAAGGCTTCAATATTGGTCCTGACAAATACAAGCAACTAAAAAAAAACAAAGTGTAATGGAAGGAAACAGAAAGTCAAAATACCTAACATACTACACATAGTAAATTATTGCTGCTTAAAAAGGCATTAAATGTACCAAGATATGTTCTTTAAATCCACTATCTCACAAAAAAGAAAATTTCCCAGCAATGTCTGTTGCCTACAAACCCAGAAGCAAACTATGTTGTGTGTGATTGTTGTTATCAGAATCATAGCTTCAGTTAGAATACTTATCTTCATAGCTTTTTTTGTCTGTCTTTTCCCATGACAATATATTCATTTTGGAATTGCACTAAAACTCTCTGCAGCATGCCTTATTGCTCACATAAAGAAGCCAGGGGACAAAGAAAAAGGAAAGGAAACATGACATACGTGACTTTTCTTTTTATAATTGTGTTAAGACACATTTACATATGCCAAGAAAACAAAGATTGAGCAGAAAAATAAAATTCTGGATGGCCACATATGGAACCTTAGAGTGGAAATGTTAGGCTAGCTTTCTGACAGTATACTAAACTTATCTTCATTTGGCTTTTGTGCTTCAGAATTCTTCATCTGTCTGCATATAATTCGTTAGAAAGAAGTAGATTGAAATTTAAAGAGCAAATGCAGAATTATTTCACTGTGCATTTTTTTAAAAAAGAAATTTGGAGTATGTTTCAAATTATTGAAAGAACTCCTTTATGTCTTTGGTATTTAAGTAATCATAATAATAATTATAATTATAATAATAAAAACTTGTGTGGAGAAATTTGATTCATTTAATTTAAATGACAGATAGATGGATAAAGCATTTATTAAGTACTTACCATGTGCCAAGCACTGTGCTTAGCATGGGGGATACAAATACAAACAGAGAAAACAGTCCCTACTCTCATGGAGTCTGCATTCTAACGGGGAAGGGGCCACAAACAAAGGGGAAGGAGCTGGAAATTGGGTAGGGAAAAGGGGAGCAAAAGGACTGATGAAAATTTTTAACAAGTTTTAAGAGTGAAGAATGGAGTGGGAGTAAACATAGCCTGGGTGCTTCATAAAACTGAGATTTTGACCAGAGACTCACCAATCAGAAGAAAGGGCTGCAGGACAGAGGCATGTCCAAGGTGAAAAGACAGCTATTAGGGACATAGAGAAGCCTGGAGAGTGGAAAGTGGAATGAGGGGAGTATTAATTGTGTTTACTGTGTTCTCAGAAACCCTGACTCTGAGTGTCACTTGAACCTGGTATCAGACTCAAGAGTCTGAGAGAAGGTATAGATGTGTATCTCATGATATTATTTTAATATATTTGATTTTATTCTTTTACCTTTTAAGGTAATGAGTGAAAACTTATATACAGGTAAGTCATGCTTATGTAGTTGATCCCTTTATGCCATTAAATATGATCTGTGTCCAATGAAATACTCTCCAATGGAGAGAAGAAAAGAAGGCAGAGATGCCAAGTAAGTGGAAACTGAGCCAAGGCACTAATAGGACAAATCCAGACATACCTTCAGACTAGGGAGATAAATACTGTCACACACAGAAGTGTTGTAACTTGGAGATAGATGCCACCTGGCCTCTGGGAGCAAAGAGAACTTGGCTTTCTCCCCAATTCCTGATGGTGTTGGATGTAATCCTAAAGTGACTATGGGCAAGAGAGGGCTAGTCACTGTCTCTCATCAGTTAATAGAATCAGAGAGTTGGTTAGCAGTGTCTTCTAGAAGTCAAAACATTTCAGAATTGGAAAGGGTGTTCAATGTTGTCTACTATTTTACCTGTTTAAAAATCTCTCCACAGCAAAGGGTAGGGTGGTATAGCGGAAACAGCATTGGCTCTAGATTTGGAGGAATTGAGTTTAAATACTTCTCTGATAGTAACTTTTTGTGACCTTAAATAAGTCACTTAAGCACTCTGGGATTTAGTTTCTCAATTTTTCAAATAAGTGAATTGGGGTAGATGAACTCTGATGTCTCTTCTAACCCTAGATGTGTCATCTTATGTCACCTAATTGTGGACCAATCTTTGTCTGAAGATTTCTAATGAAGAAGAAACCACAAAATCCTGTGACAATAGCTCTAATTATTGGAGAGTTTTTTCTTCTTTCAAATTAAATCTATCTTTTTGCAACTCCTTTGCAACTGATATTCCTTGTTGTACCCTTCAGGTACAATTAAAAAAAAAAAAAAAACTAACCCTCTTGCCATAAACAGCCTGTCTACAAATCATCATATCTGTCTTAAGTATGCTCTTCTCCAGGCTAAATATTCTGTTTCTTCAACCAATATTTCCAAATAAATAACAATTACTTCTCTACAGCAAGCATATGGGGCAAGTGAAATTACTATTTATCAAATAAGCATTGAATAAGAAATGCATTATCATGCAAAATACCTTCATCATATCATAATTTGTGATATAATTGTAAATGTTTTATTGTATATTTTGATCTCTGAATTAAATCATATGCAACAAAATGCTGTTAAACACCACCTACAAAATGGGTTATAATCTTGGTGCTAGGCAGAAGCCTTTATAAAATCATTATATTATTTTAAATTTTTTGTATTTTGAAAACAAAATGCATACTCCATTGCTATGTTCCCTCTATTTGATTATTTTTACTTTTAAATACTCCTCTGCCTTAAATCCTCACAAATAATGAATGACATGAACAGCTTTGGTATTTTGTTTTATTTAGATGCTTTCCAAATCCACATTTTTCTGGTAAAAAGCTAATCTAGAGGTAACACATTTTACTTCTTGTTTAGGTAAATTTAAGTCATTTATTAAGAATGCTACAAAAGAACATTTAGTTCATCACAATATTTAAGCCTGATTACACTTTTAACAATTTACAGAAACCAAGCTAAGAATTTTACAGCATTGAGTTTATGGGGTATTAAAGCATATTGTTTAGTGATTGTCAAAGGTTCTTGTGTCTAAGGCTCTCAGCATAAAGTTTCTGATTACTTCTGATAATCCATCTAACGAAAGTTTTTTCTGTTAATATTATTAAAATTTGAGTCAACAGATCAAATCAACAAGCATTTATTAATTTATTATGTCCTATGCTAAGTGCTGGGAATTTAAATAGAAGCAGAAGGAAAGACAATCTCTGCCCAGGTAGGGAGAGAGGTGGGAAATGAGGTGAAGAGACATGGTAGAGAAGGTTCAGAGAACCAGGAGGCAACCTGGATAGGGATGAAGACATTGTAACTTCTGTGTTCTCCTTAAAATAGAGATTAAATAGGGAGAAACCTTTCAGAGAAAGAAGATGCAGAGCCAGAAGTGACTTCTTTGTGAGAAGTCTAGGCCTAGAGTGAACTTCCTAAATGAAGAAATTTCTATGACATAGTATAGAGAAAGTCAGGAGTGCAACCTAGAGAGGAATGTTATCCCCCCTTTCCCCTCTTTTTTTATTATCTTACAGAAATATAACTGAAAAGATAAAGATTTAAAATGCCAATCATTCATTTCCCCACTTAAAATAATCAGCTCTAAGTCATTTTGTGATTGACATTATAGTTAAGTAAGGATTAAATTAATTGGTAGTGAATTGGTTAAGAAATTAAGAATATAGATAGAATAATAGTAAGAGAAACTGGGCAAAAGTGCTTATCATACATACTGTATCACTTTAGGAAACATACAACATAACCTTTAAGCTCTTTTTGAAGGAATGCTATACATTTATTAGAATAACAAATAGCTTAGCAGCCTTTTATGTAAGAATTCAATTTCCTGTTAGGTTGTCAAAATGGGCAATATCTTTTGTGGGGAAATGCAAAGAAAAACAAGGTTTTTAAGGATGAACAGATATTTCAGACCAATATATATCTGCCATGAAAGGACAGTACAGGATGGCCATGGGTCATTTTTTACATTGCATTATTTTTTTTTAACTATAAGCACATGTATAGAGAAAAATATTTAAATGGTTCAAGATTAAAATTGGTAATAATCTCAGGGTTGGAGTAGAACGCTCTCACCCATTTCACCAAATTTGAAATAAATTAGACTGATTTAGCAGGCAAGGGGAATAAAAAAGATGAAGGAAGCACCCCCAGGTAAATTTGGCTTTTGTAGTTAGGACCAGATGTTAATACTAGAAAACTGATGCATGAAGTGCTTGGGCAGTCGCTGGAGGTGCTGAGCAATATTGATTTCATCTCAACACTCCAGAAACCTTAAGCTCTGAAACCCACAGACAGAATGTATCTGTGACAGCAAGAGTAGAAATAAACTAAGTTCATATTTCATATGCACAAGTTCTTTTGCTTTTTACAGATCTATAGTTTTGAAATTTCTAGGGGAATAGTTAGCCCATAGAGAATAATATAAAGTTGCTATGATATAGAACTAATAAGGATTACAGTTACTGTCACAAAAAATCCCATTATGTACATAAATCAGCATGATGGATAAGGATGCTTTTTAATCTCTTTCCTTGTTTCATTTACTGCAAGATTGCAGGACTGTTTTCTTTAGTAACAAGATTGTAGTCAAAATTTCTAGTTAAGTAATAGTTCATTCAGAGCTCCAATAATCTTGTTCACATCCTTTTTTACAATATAAAAATGAAAAGAGATCTTTGAAAGCATAAAAGTTAAAGAAATAGTAAAATATCTACACATAACTGCCTGTGATATATTACCATATGAGATTTTCAGATTATAGTATTTGGATCTGAGGACAGTTATAGTCATTCAACCTAAATCCTTTATATTATAGAGGAGGAAACTGGACCCTGGAGAGATTAGGTGACTGACAAGGTGACTTCGACAAATCTAGTAAATAGCAGCACCCATCAACTAAAGGGAAAGAGAGAGATGTTGCAGTGGCCTGCTTAGAATGTGCAACTTCTGTATTTCTGCCAAATAGCTGCTGTCTATGTTTCTTTTCTGAGATTATAGACCAGATAATTAAACCAGGGAAGGGTAAAACAGAAACAGAGACTGTGATAGAGACAGAGACACGCAAAGACAACAAGAAGAGACAGAGAGATAAAAAAGAAACAAAGAAAGGGAGGACAGCAGACAACTAAAAATAAGTAATATTTAAACTTACTAAGTTATTAACTACTGACCAAGTCACTTAATCCTTTTTGCCTTATTTCTTCATCTGTAAAATGAGTCAGAGAAGCAAATGGCAAATAATTCCAATATCTTTGCTAAGAAAACCCCAAACGGGGTCATGAAGAGTCAAATATGACTGAAATGACTGAATGACAACAACAAATATTTAATTGAAAATGTTCAGGAAAATCTTATTAAATCTTATTAAAATCTTATAAAAATTAAATCTTATTAAATTAAATTATTAAATTAATTAAATTAAATTAAATCTTATAAAAATCTTATTAAAAATCATATTAAAAAACTATAGCAACACATCTATCTATCTATCTATCATGTAAAATATGACTATTTAGCACAAGTGGAATTTATATCAGAGATGCAAAGATGGTTCAGAACAACAATTAACATAATCAGAACAACAATTAACATAATACAACAAAATACACCTCAAATTTTCATAATTATATCTGTAGATAATGAAAAATCATTATACAAAATAGAATACTCATATATGGTAAAACTTCTATACAGAGCATGTCATAGAAGGGACATCAAAATATAAT